TCGGCGGGTAAATTTGGCTGCACACTAGGACCGTCCTTTTCCCCTGCTACAACTGTCCTGATAGACTGCCAGACCTTATTGGGACCCCGCTCACAGATATTTCTCAGTAGCTCTTCTCGCCGGTCGCGACGCAGTGCGGCCCGAACAGAGCGAATTCAGCTCCTTGTAAGCTGTCGACTGACGACCGGACAGTCGTAGCGAGGCGCGGCGCTGGGACATAAGGTTCCGTGTGGCAGCAGAGGCCGGGGGCGCTGTGGGGTTCCGAATGGTAATGCGCTTGAGTGGGGCGTGGTCGTCGATAATAGGCAAAAAATTAGACACAAATGCATCCCACTGATCACTAACAGTCGCGGCGGTAAACACAGGCTCCCAGTCGACAAGCTCCAGATCAGAATCAAGGGCAGTGACATCAACACGGTTGAGCGAACGAGCTGAGATGATTGTAGGCTTCGGACGCAGTTTGGGAACATTGATATCTACGCTAATAAATTTATGCGGACTAAAATGACAAAACTCAACACGGGTGTTAGAGAAGAGGTCCACTTTGTTCACCATACACACGTCTAGGAGCGAACCGGAAGTGAAAGTCGGAGTTGTTACTAGCTGGTCTAGGGAGTAGTCCGATAGGAAGCTGCTGAGATGCTGTCGTGCACGAAAGTTGGGTTCTTTCTTCAGCAGGTGCCAGGTCACAGTTTATATCACCGCAGATGGCGAGCGGGGTCCTAGGGTGATCGACAAGTACTCTTTGTAACTGATTTTCAAGGTCGGCAAAATCGGCACATAAAGCGGTTTCGGAGTGGCGAGGGGGGCGATATAAAGAACATACGATGAGTTGACGACCTTTGTCGAGCTTGAGCAGCGCCCACTTTGACTCGAGCTGGCTGCAGCCGCGCTCGAAACTTGGGAACTTGATGGGCACTGATGTGATATCCGATTTTGTTGCGATCGCGACGCCGCCGTACCCGCGGCCATCAGGTCGGTCTGTGCGGCTGAGGGAGTAGCCAGGGAGCACTAAAAGTCTGTTTGGCGTAGAAGGGCGTAGCCAGGTCTCCGACAGTAGTACAGTCGTGTACAGGTTGATGGTCCCCTACTCTTTATCCACCGGGTTCCTATGGCTCAGCATTGGCAGCAGCCGCCTGGTACCGGTAGGCTGTGCCGCATGACCCGAGAGTGAAGCGGCACAGTCTACCCGCGCTGTTTGACATCGGCTCGGGTCGCCGGGTGGAGCGCTTTGTAGACCAGCTGTCGCGTCAGACCAGCGCGGGGGGAGGGGCTCGTCTCGGTGGTTGGCGTGGGCTGGCGAGTGGTGTGGGGCGTGTTTGTGGACCATGGGGGCTGGGCGGGTGTGTGTGGTCACTTGCTGCATTGCACATTTTGCGTCGCTTAACCCTCGCATGTGTGCGGCGTTTTCCAGCTTCTAATGTGTAGGGGGGGTCGGTTGGACCCCCCCTTGCCGTTTGGCCCCTGATCGAGCTAGAGCTTCGCGGAAAAAACGAGCGTGTTGCCCGTGACGAGAGGAAGCCGATGATACCCAATTTTAAGGTCCTAGGTCATTGGTTGACCTTCCAGGTCAGGTCAATGACCCAAAGTCGGGAAAATCGGGACCTATTAGAAAGTCGTAAAGTGTGGCTGCTAAGGGGTTTTTCGGGGTGCTGATCACGAATATCGTGTTAGTTTTGATCAGAGATGATGTCTTTAAGCATTTAGACCAGGTCGGGTCAGGTCAGGTCAGGTCAACCAGCAGGCGTTGTGACGGGTATTCGTAGTACGTGTCAACCGCCTCTGACAGCTTCGTAACATGTTACGAAGGCACCAAAACTACTTCGTAAATGTTCAAATGGTTGCTAAATTCGAGTTCAGCTCCAAAAACTAGCCTAGAAACATGTAAAACTCGAAAAAGTGAACCGAGGTCATCCGAGGTCACCAAAGGTCAATGACCTGACCTGACCTTCAGGTGACCTTGACACCCACCCTAATGCATGGGAGCAACATCAAATCACATGTTTGAACGTTTGAAACCACGAAAAGCTTGCAAACGCACGGCTAATGCGAGCCGACGTACGCCGAATCGCGATTCCGGCCAAACATGGTCTCGGAAAAGAGGTCACAGGTCAAAGGTCATTTGGGTCAGGGTCATGAAATTTTCAGGGTAGGTGTAAAATTGATCAATGCGAGGGTACTGAAAGTTTCGTCGCGATCGGCCGCTTTTTACGCGAGTTATTCGCGAAAAACCATGGGGGGGGTCCATCCGACCCCCCCCCCCCTACACATGCGAGGGTTAACAACTGCATTCCTGTTTTTGCTAAGCACAATGCACGGACGACCCAGCGAATATAATTTACTTGTGCATTGTGCAAAACGTGATTTTGCACGGTATCGAGGCAACCATAGGTCTTGTGCCACATATATGCATGATATTTAGGCAATACGCTTATGAAAATGGTAGATTGATCGGATTGGTCCTGGATGTCAATTCGTATGCTAAATGTCGACATGTATTAAATGAACGAATGAATGAATCAATCAATCAATCGACAATCGACATGTAGATATAAAACCGTATAAATGGCTCGCAACCACTAAAATCAAACCAGATCCTAACTCGGAAAAGTAGCCGGAGCCCCGATGAGGCTCGAACCGGGACTCAACGTTGAAAGTTTTACCAATGATCCATCATCATTCCACCAAGCTAGAGCGACCGGCACCCGAAACCACAAAAACATTCATTGACTTTGCTGCCGACCTCCCGGCCCCGCCGCCCGTCCGGCCAGACTTTGCCCCGGCCGTGGCAACTATCCGGTGTAGCTCAGCGTAGGAGTGCTAGACTGTCAAACTGGCCGGTAGTGAGAGGCCCGGTTCGAGACGCTTCGCGTGCTGGATGTTTATTTCTGTGTCCGAGGCTATGCGATTAGTCCACTTTTCAGAAAGATTATCTGGTGACAGGTCTGTTTTCTTTCTTTGCTGCAATTCATGAGGAGACCGTATGGACCCTTACCTGTCCTTCCGCACCCCACTTGGGAGATGGGTGTTTGAACCCCCCTGGGTTTTGTGAATATCTCTAAAGCGAATTTTTGGAGGGTGGATTACGATCGGTTCTACGCGACAAGTGACCACTCACACCCAGCCCCAGGTCCGCTCACTCCCTCCCCACATCACCCCCGCCCCACACCACACTCCAGCCCGCCTCATCCACCGAGCCGAGCCAAATAGACAGGCCTGACCCTTACCCCCCCCCCTCCCCCAGCCGGTGTAACGCAGCGTCCGGTCAAATCGCTCTACCAGGCGACCCGAGCCGGTGTCATACAGTGTGGGTAGGCTGTGCCGCTTCACTCTCGGGTCATGCGGCACAGCCTACCGGTACCAGGCGGCTGCTGCCAATGCTGAGCCATAGGAACCCGGTGGATAAAGAGTAGGGGACCATCAACCTGTACACGACTGTACGACATCGTAATTGTTTTGGCGGAGTTCATAGGTCAGGTCCAATAGTTTAGGCTTGAGGCTTTGAATATTCAAGCTTCCGATACGAAGATTCCGATGGTGGTTTCCTGTCGTTTCCGGTCGGCTCCTGCCCCTGCCGCGGCCACCGCGGGCGCCGGCGGCGCGCCGTGGGACGCGGGCAGCGCGAGCGGCCGCTCCCCACCCACGCGGGCCGGCGGGGCTCTCAGCTGGAGGGGAGGGTGAGGCGACACGGCCGCCGGCTGGCGTCCGTGGGGCTCTGCGCGCGGCGCGGGAGCGCGGTCCGTCGTCCCTGGGGCTCGGGAAGATTTGAATGCCGGCAGCCGTTTAGTGGCTATAGCTGGGGTCAAATCACTAGTAGAGCTCGATGAAAACCGAGAAAAGTTCCGTGGGAAAGCAGAGGGCTGTTCACGGACCCTAGGGGTGTTCACGGGCACCGCACACTGCTGCGTGCGCTGTGTGCGGTGCGTCCAGCAGGCGTGGGGGTAGGGGATGGGTAGGCGGTTCTGACGTCACGGCTGCGTGCGGTGGACGGTCCCCTGTGGCCAGTCCCGACCGGCCACAGCGATCGCTGTGTGCGGTGACGGAAGGCTGACGTAGGGACGCAGTGGGCGGAGCTTGGAGGCTGTGTGCGGTCCGACCGCACACAGGAGAGCTGTTCGGTTCTGACGTCACGGCTGCGTGCGGTGGACGGTCCCCTGTGGCCAGTCCCGACCGGCCACAGCGATCGCTGTGTGCGGTGACGGAAGGCTGACGTAGGGACGCAGTGGGCGGAGCTTGGAGGCTGTGTGCGGTCCGACCGCACACAGGGCCCGTGAACAGCTCTCCTGTGTGCGGTCGGACCGCACACAGCCTCCAAGCTCCGCCCACTGCGTCCCTACGTCAGCCTTGCGTCACCGCACACAGCGACCGCTGTGGCCGGTCGGGACTGGCCACAGCGGACCGTCCACCGCACGCAGCCGTGACGTCAGAGCCGCCTACCCATCCCCTACCCCCACGCCTGCTGGACGCAGCGCACACACCGCACGCAGCAGTGTGCGGTGCCCGTGAACACCCCTCTGGTTTTCTTTTGGTGAGATGGTGCCTGAGCTGGTGATCCGCCACTCGAAGTAGCCACTTTCCGCCACTTTCCGACTGGGGGGGGGGGGGGGGGGGGCACACCATAATAGAGATTTACCTAGGGTACCCCCAAATCTAGTTTTCTCACCGGTTTTAGGCCACTTATTTTTCACCCCTCGGCTTTTTCAACAAAAAAAGAAAACATTTGCAAAAAAAGTGTGGTATTCCGTGACCCGTCTCAAAGCTGTGGGGGCCACCGCGCCCAAGGCCCCAGAGTTGGGGGGCAAGCTGCCCCCACTGCCCCCCGGCTCCCGCACCTATGATCTAAGATTACACAACAGTATAGTACGGGAAGTTTTATAACCTCTTAAAGTTTGTGTAGCAAATTTTGGACACCATGAAACTCTATCATCCTTCCTTTTTTACTTAAAAATGAGCTGTTATAATTTAGCAGCGTCATTTGTTATAAAATTCCCGCACAAATCGTGAAACACGCTGCTAAGCGTTTTTTGGCGCGCCACTCTTCGTCTACCTTCGATTGTGGTTGGTGTGGACTTGTAATTTTCCACAATTTTTGAAGATATGTGCTGAAAGACGTTTTTTAGTGAGTAACATTTTCGTATACGAGTCTATAGATGGCCCTGATACGAGTCCTTAAGAGAAATTGTTTTTCCTCGCTGAAGGGCGTCACAAATGGTCTGGTTAACTTAATGATAAACGAGAATGTTTTTTTTTCGGTTTCGGGGCGTAATGTTAACGGGCAATTTTTACTGAATTTGAGTGGAATTCGCATCTACTTAACATTATTTCCCAGCCAGCAATATGATGCTGTTGGTATGCTGTTGGAATTTTGTATAGAATGCTACCATCCGTTCTCCAGCAGGCAGCAATGTGCCGAATTGGAGCACAATTGGCCCAGCCGTTCTCAAGATCTGGAAGGGCACCATGCACATGTGCGCATGCAAGTTGGATCCCAAGTTACTTTTGCACGGCACCCTACTAACTGGTCCCTGATCGGTTACTAAATTTGAGCGCAATTGGTCCAGCCATTCTCAAAATCTGGAATTGACCCCTGCACTTGCACACATGCAGCAATACCACAACTGTGGGAAATGGAAATGCAATGCCTAGTGGGTGCCTACATATATGCTGAGTTTCAGGCTTCAGCACAATCAGCCAAGTAACTACCGAGATACCCTACACCAGGGTGACAATGATACCCGGGGTGACTTTGATCATAGACCAGTTTTGGGCCTAAAATGAGCATTTTGCTGCTGTGAACTGTATTTGTTATGCCAATGGTTAAATAAAGCAATGAAGCATTATAGCAGACACTTAAGAGTTTAGTCCCAGTTAAAATAATCATGTTATGTCACAACTTTTTTTTTTGTTGTTGTCATTGGCATGGAGTATAAATTCTCTAGCATCTCCAGCAATAATAATGGTAAAGATGAGAAAGACCCAGGTAAAGAAAGAGAAAGCAAAGGCTTTGATACTGAGGATGGAGGTCGGAGGATGAGCATTGAGCTGCTCTATCTCAGTGGTAATTGGAGCATCAATGGGAAGTGAAAAAGACAATCAACTGGGAGGGGCATGAGCAGTGTGGCAAGTGATCCCACAGCCACCAGCAGACAAAGTGTGATGTAGGACAGGTAGTTTGCAGTGGCTTAGGACATCTGTGACTGTTACTTAATTTTGAAGTCAGAGGTTAACCCGCGCCCTGCTGGGGGGGGGATGTTTGAACACCCCCCTTGTGGTTTTTCGCGAATATCTCAAAAACGGTGCCGCCGTTTTTGGTACACCTTATTATACATCAATTCTACACATGTTGTGAAAATTTCAGACCAAGGTCATTCAAGGTCAGGTCACCAGGTCACTTGAAGTGACCTCACCTCATAAAAGTTTCAATGTCTGCCATTGCTACACCGAGTGACCGATCGCTTTGAAACTTTCAGCGATTGATAAGGGTAACAGTATCTATAAAATGTATATCTCAGAATTTTGATATCGGTGACCTAAGGTCAGGTCAATTTAGCGACCTCCCCATTATAAGTCAATGCACAGTGGCCCTTTTTCAGAATTAGCACGCATTAATTCCCACAATACCTGAAAGTGGTGCAAGACATCACCACGTGATCAAGGACGTATTCCCTGCCAATGCAAAGAGAAGAAAAGAAACGAACTGCCCAAGGAGATTCGGCCCAACAGCGACAGGCCGCTCGGGCCAAGATTTGGCGCACGTTCGCACGGCTCGCCCGCCGGCCAGGCCGCTCCGAACGCAAGTGTGGCGAGCCCGCCAGCCGACCGCGCTGCACTGACCGCCAGGACGCCCCAGGGCGTCACGTGACCGCATCTACAGCTGTTGCCAGCCACCGTTAGTATAATTTCAATTAGCACATCTTATGGCAAAAGTCGAGCCACATTTAGGCGCACACCAGGTGACACCAGCTTCGAGCCAGGTCAATGAGCTTAGTCGTATCGAACAGGAGCCACAGCCGCTCGCGGACTGAACTGGCTCACATTATCCACCGTAGAAGCAAAATGGCGCAAAATGGCGCGATGCCCTTTGGTGGACATGGTCAGAAGAGATCGGCGATTCGAACGATGTATAATACGACATGTTCCAGAGTGTGCTACTTAACATAAAGCTTCATATGTATGCCGCCATCTCCAGTTAATAATTGTCCTGTTATTGTGTCCACAATATTCGGCAAAAGTGGTCTATTGAAGTTTATACAATGAAAATTGTGGTTTCTAGGGCTTCTACGTAAACTCAGCTTCACAGCCGTGCCACTAATTTTTAACATTTTCTCGCCGAAAGCCTTACAAATTGATGTTCATCTCACCCTACTTTTTAAGGTCCGCCGGTGGTGTCCGCGCGCCTCTCGACAAACTTCTATTTTGCGGTCAGTTTTACAAAAGATAATTATTTTTTAGGAGGTAAAAATGGCACCATCGGATAGTTTGGAATGTTTTGCACACGATTAGACTGCTTTTTACTCAAAAGAAGAGAAAAAATATTTTGAATTTATGCGTGCTAATTCTGAAAAAGGGCCACTGTGCAATGGGAGAAAATTGAAATGCGTCTCTTTTGGACGAAAGTCATTATAAACACTCCCAAACACTGAATTACAAGCAGTTAAAACACACTGAACATGAAAATGGTGTCCGTGACCCCTATTTATGCCCCTGAGGTCGTCTCAGGTCACAAATAGTGTCTAACAGTTTTTCGCAAATAACTTTTGATAGAGGCATGCTAGAGCGGTGAAAACGCCTTAGATGTGTTCAGCTCGACGATACGGATCGACTGATATGCAACATGACCTTTTCCGGTCAGGTCATGACCTTGACCTGAGGTCAAATTTTCAAGTTGACCTTTCAAGGTCAAGTTAAAGTTCATTCGATGCGTCTTGACGAGAGGAACACGATGCCGGTAAAAGTAAGCTCGTACAAGGCTTGGGTCATAAATTATTGCAGAAAAACTGTTTCCGAAAAAATCGGCTATTTTTGCAGTGTTTGCCCCCTGCAGGCAAAACCGTTGACGTTAGGTCAAATCTGAGAAAAAATTGTCGACATTCGACCTGAAAATCGTCGAAATTTTGCCTTCAATGACCCCTGGTGACCTGACCTTTGACCTGACCGAAAAAGTGACTGAAGTGATATCGTCATTATTTTTGGCGCTCTTTCGAACGCCGCCTTCTGCGTATCAAGGGGGGGTTCAAACACCCCCCCCCCCCCCCCAGCAGGGCGTGGAAATCCAGGACCCCCAGCCGGGCGTGGGTTAAAGTAGCTAATTTTGCTGCTTATAGCTCTGTAATGTGAGTTTAGACCTGGAACATGCAACTTTATTTTAATACCTCAATTATTCATAGTTTTGCTGTAAAATGTGTGAGTTTTTGTCAAGCAAAGCCTTTGGTTTTATTTAAAACATGTAAGTTTATCACACAAGCCCCTTCTGAGGGCTCCTATGGCACATATAAGGTGATTTTAATGTAGTGATCATAGTTACCCCGACCTCTGGGTGAGAATGATCATTTTTTTGTAAAAAAATCAAATTTATGATAAATTTCAGAACATTTACTGTACTCAGTTAGATAAAGAATTGTCCAATTGGTATGATGAAACAGTTGGGGCATTCCACGATAGATCGTACCGGGCCCGTCACCCTCATCTCTCAGATTTTAATTAAAATCGGTCCTAGGGGTAATCATAGGCCCCAAAGACGCCTGGCAAAATATCAGACTTCTCAGATCAAAACTTTTTAGTTATATTGCATTACATTTTTTTAACTTCGGTTTGTAACGGTGAGTTTGATGGCCTATAACTCAAGAACGGGTTAGGCAACCAACAAAAAGTAAACAACACAAAGCTTGCGATGAATCAAAAATTAATATTACTATTTAAAAATTCCAAAGAAAAAAATCATTGTTGAGCAAAAACCTTAATCTTTTTTCATTTGCCTCTAATGACTTTTGGGACCAAAATTTTTCACATTTTATTTTTTCAAAATAAACTTCATGTCATTGCAAATCGACATGCAAAAAATTAGAAAGGTGTTCTTTCTTTAAGTTCCTCATTTTCCCGCAAGCAAAATGGGTTTCGGAGGGGTTGAAACGACCCCAGCACGCCGTTTCGCTTCTAATAGAGCTAGAGCCTCGCGGTAAAAACGAGCGTGTGTGCCGTTACAATTCGCAGCGATTGGTACCCGATTTTTAGGTGTCAGGTTAACCGGTAGCGTCTTAGGTCAGGTCAAGTGACTGAAGTTACGGGTTCGCTTTTTAGTAAATAACTTCGCAAAAAAATGGGTTGTTTGTTGCCAGACCCGCGAAGCTGTATCGGTCAACTTCCTTCAGGAACAGAAGGGTTGCTGGGCTAATTTACCTCCATAGTTTACCATTTATCATTACAGCCACGGGATCAAAATAAAGTCTTTAATGTAAACTTGTTTTCCCATTCCGCGTGCTGGCTCTTTTTTCCGATTTCTGCCCGTGTGCGCGGCGGTCTTATGGCTGACTTATGGATGACATGAGTGGCATAAGTATTGATGCTCCTGTCACTGATGAGAAATTACGAAATGAAATAATGTATGTTGATGCTCTTAGACGTCGACCGTCACCGCAGTACCGTTCCTGCTTCCTCCGAGATTGAAACGAACGGAATGCAGCCTAGGATTTATATTTTCTACCGAAGTCGTTTTGGGGAAGTGCGCTTACATTTCATGATATGTAAAAAAAAAGCACCAAGTGGTGGACACTGTCTAAGTGTCTATGTAACAGTCTGAAGGGGCACAGCTGAGTTTTTGCCATTTAAGCTTGGTTTTTCCCTATGTATGTACAAAGATTCGAGCGTTCTAAGGTCCATAGCTGTTGGCGATCTTCCTAGTATCTGAAAATCCGAATTTGAAAAACGGTTGTCACACTGATCTGAATGATCTCTAACAGATGACTGGAGAGGAGATGTTAGCATTTTACCCGTTCTCTCAGAGATTCCTAAATGCTGGCTTACTCTGGTGTTAAGGCGTGCACTGGTAGAACCAATGTACGACCCCCCGCACGAGGGGCAACAGAATTTGTATACCACGCCAGAGCAGCACATTTTGGGAACTCTATCTTTGTATTTGAAAAAAGAGCCTATCGTAAACTGGTTCCTCAGAACGATACGAAATTGAGCATAGGGGTAGAAGGTAGTCAGTATATCGTTAATAGCATGTTTTAAAGCTTGAGAATGTTCTCCAAGGTACGGGAAAGTCACGTATTTGCTGAGCTTGGGCACATCAAAAGATACTGGTACCCGATCGTATTGTTTGTTGAGGAATTTCCTCACTTCAAAATTGATAAGAGGAGAAGGAAAACCATTGTTTTTTTTTAGAAAGATCGTAGGAAGTTAAGCTCACAATCAAACGAAGACTGGGAAGGAGATTATTGTGCCCCTTCAGATTGTTGCATAGACAGTAAAAAAAAAAAAAAATATCACCCCTCACGTTAGTCACGTCAGTGAGTCACCGCAGCACTTCTCTCTATGTACATGGCGCGTCGAATAACGTAAATTGAGTTACTAACGGCCATGGAAAGGTAGAATGTGACATAACTTTGAATTTGCCCTCCTCGCCAATTTAAGATATGTGGCGATGCCTGATGATCCAAATAGATAGGAGAGGAATATCCACAAAGAATACCGCACTTCTGATGAGGTGCTACACTGGCTCTCGGAAATCGATTGCAGCCAGACACCAGATTACTTGGTATTCCATTGTAGAGTGCGTACAAAGAAATTTAGGCATCAAGCGATCTGATCCAATGTATGTGTGTTGCCTATTTCGCACTGCCAGTATCTCTCGGATTGAGATGCTGCTGCGCTCATCTCGGCACATTCATGCTTTTCAATCATTTCTTCGAACCTAGCTGAAAAACTCCCAGCCGCAGTCATAACTGTCCTGTGTAATTCGCGGTGCTGATGTATGGCCTTATGACTAACGTTATGCACATTTTGTTCTGTTCTAGCTTGGCTTGTCTCAGACAGCACTCTCAGACGATCAGACTCAATCTGCGCTCTCCGGATGGCCGACGTGGCGGACCTGCCGAACGGCAACGGTGCCGTCGACGCCGACATTCCTGCCGACGGCGGCGGCGATGCGGCGACCACCAACGGTGAGCCGGCCGTCCTGAAGGCGGCGGCGGCAGACGCGCCGGCGCCGGCACCGGCCGCGCCGGCCAGCACCGTCGACATGGAGCGCTTCACAGTGCACGAGAGTCTGGAGCAGCTGGGCAGCCTGGTCACCGGGCCGGGCTCCAAGAAGGACAAGGGTCTGATGTCCAACCTGCTCGGCATCGGTCTACCCAAGTTGTCCCGAGACCAGCAGGACGCCGTCAACAAGGCTAAGAAGTTCGCCATGGAGCAGAGCATCAAGATGGTGCTGATGAAGCAGACGATCGCGCACCAGCAGCTGCAGGCTAAGTCGCTGCAGCGGCATCAGGCGCTGGTGCTCATGTGTCGAGTCTACGTGGGCTCCATCAGCTTCGAGCTGCGTGAGGACACAGTGCGGCAGGCGTTCCTGCCGTTCGGGCCCATCAAGTCGATCGATCTCTCCTGGGACCCGGTCACGCAGAAACACAAGGGCTTCGCGTTCGTCGAGTACGAGATGCCGGAGGCGGCGCAGCTGGCGTTAGATCAGATGAACGGTGTAATTATCGGCGGCAGGAACATCAAGGTGGGACGGCCGAGCAACATGCCGCAGGCGCAGGCTGTCATTGACCAGATCCAGGAGGAGGCCAAGAGCTACAACCGAATCTACGTGGCGTCGGTGCACCAGGACTTGACCGACCAGGACATCCGCAGTGTATTCGAGGCGTTCGGTCGGATCGTGACGTGCACGCTGGCTGATGGCGGCACCGGCAGACATAAGGGCTACGGGTTCATCGAGTACGACACCCCGCAGGCGGCGATGGATGCCATCGCCTCCATGAACCTGTTTGATCTGGGCGGCCAGTACCTGCGCGTCGGCCGCTGCAACACACCGCCTAACGCACTGGAGATCCTGATGGGCTCGCTGCCGCCGACTACAGGCGCTCAGGTGATGCCGACGGCCTCCTCGCTGGCAGTAGCGGCCGCGTCGGCTCGTATTCAGTCGATGGAGGCCGCTCAACACACAGCTAATGTTCTCCGGGGCGGATTCAGCACGCCGCTGAACTCTCTGCCGATCGGCGTGGCCGGCGCCACCCCGGCGATACCGGCGCCGCCGCCGCCCGGGCCGCCGGTGCCGCTGATGGCGACACCTGTGAACCCGCCGCCGAGTATGCTGGCGCACGTGCTGCCGCCTCCGCCGGTGATCACGGCCCCGCTCCAGCTCGGCGGTGCTGTGTCGGTGGCGGCGCCCTCGCTGCCGCCGCCAGCAGTGCTGACTGCGCCCCTGCAGCTCGGGGGTGGTGGCCCCGTGTCCTCGGCCGGCCCGGCTGTCAGTGTGCCTCCGCCCGGTGTGGTGGTACCCACGCTCGGAGCCGGCGGAGCGATCCGCGTGCCCCCGCCGGGCGCCGCGGCGCAGCCGGCCGCCGGCGCCCTCACAGACGAGGAGCGGCGCCAGGAAGAGCTGCAGAAGAAGCTGATGGAGGACGAGCCGCAGACGCTGCAACAGCAGGAGGACATGTCCATCAAGGGCCACTCGGGCCGACACCTGGTGATGCAGCGGCTCATGCGGCCGCAGGAGAGCCGTGTGGTGGTGCTGCGGAACATGGTCGGCCCAGAGGATGTGGATGATACGCTGCAGGACGAGATCACCGACGAGTGCAACCGGTTCGGCCAGGTGAAGCGCGTCGTTATCTACCACGAGGCGCAGGGCGACCACGACGGCGCAGAGGTGGTCGTCAAAATCTTCGTCGAGTTCGCCGAGGTTCCGGAAGCGGAGGCGGCGCGCACGGCTCTCAACGGCCGCTACTTCGGCGGCCGTCTGGTCAGGGCCGAGCCGTACGATATGAGCCTGTACGAGCACGAAGATCTCTCCGGCTAGCCGGTGCCGGCGGGCCGACGAGGTGCGTGCCCGCGCGGGCGGCGAGTGTGTGGGGGTGGCGTGGCCGTGTGCAAGTGTGCGCTGTGCGAGGGGCGGCCGCGGACGGCGTGCTCCTCTCGGCGGCGGCTAATCTGTGTGGCGGAGGCGGTTTCAGGCGGCGGCCCGGCTCGAGATGACCTGGTGGCTCTGCGGCCGTCAGGGCGGCGGACGGCGCGGCGACGGAGGACGACATGGGCGACATCAGGCGGACGGACGGCGAACCACAGCTTCCGAGGGCGCCCGGTAAGTATCGCGGCAGTCAGCCGCCGTCCCTTTCCGTTCAGCCTCATATCGTCCACTGCACAAGTCCTGTGAAACACTATCCGTCATCCATTACATATCATGTGATGTGAAGTTCTTACGTCTCCTCTATTCGTCCAGCCCTTCTCTACATGTGTCCGGTGTCTTCTGCACCTAGAATGTCTGTGTTTTCGTGTCTCTTTCGGTTAAATTACGGGACTTCCGAATGTACCGATTACTCACAGAATATGTGTCTGTGTCTCATGTGTTTGCCGGCGACTCTGGAGTTTTCGAAGCGAGTCTCAGTCACGGTTCGGTGGCCTACCGCGTTCAGCGCCTATCGCCGGCGGTACGAGTGGCGTCTGGAGGAATCAGCCGTGCGTCGGAGCAGCCGAGCCCGGGACCAGCAGCTGACTGCGGCCGCCCCGTGTTTTTATTGTTCGCAGACGTCTGTGCGTCGCCGCGCTGAGCGGATAGGGCCGCGCCGGGCCGCGCCGTGCGCTCGCCGACCACCGGCCACTGGCCTGTTCCGCGACACGCCTCTAAAGTCTGCCCCGTCCCCCGCCCGGCCCGTGTCTCTCTCCCTCTCTGCCTCTGTTCAGCGGCTTAGCCGCGGCGTATACTGAAACTGCCTGACCTGGCCCGAGGCAGTCCGTCCTCCCTCACACTCCGTCGTCCTGTCGCGTTAGCGGTCCTGCCCCTGGTCCGTCCTATTCCAGCAGTCCGTCCGAGATCCATTCATCAAAGAGCTAATTGTTCACGTTGTGCTATCATTCTCTCAGTGTTGCGTGTCTCGCACTCGCGTCTGGAATTCGACATGTGCTTTACTCGTGCCTCCGTTTCAGTTGTGTCTCGGTATGCTCGCGTTTCATGTGCCCGATCGCCATGACTGGGTCACGACAAACGGTGAGCGGCGGCTGAGGGGGTCCTGGACGGCGCTCTGACGGAGGACGGAGCAGCGGGCGGCTTCCAGCGGCGGACGGATGGACACACCGACACCGAGCGACTGCCAGCCGGCGGCCGGCGGCCCGCAGGTACAGACCGCTGGGTTATGAACGTGGTGTGGGCCGTGGGGAGACTAAGACACCGCAGCTTCTTGTGATTCTTTGTTCGTTTGCAGCTAAAATTGTTGACGGTGATCAGAAGCTTAGAAAATGATACATCTACATGGAGCTTTAAATTTCCTGCTATGTACCTGAAAAAGGAATTCATTTTTATTTTACACTGAGTTAAGCGTTAAGATCTACAGTTCAATTCGGTGATAGGAGCTCTGCTCTGTTTTCTGAACAACATATAACTGCTGTCCGTCTGTTGCAGACACGAGTACGCCGCGACCTCTCCTGTCATCAGCTCTGGATGTCACCTCTGCGAACGTCGGGGCATGTGAAGCTGCCCTTCTCAGCGTCCTACCAACGAAGCATTGAGAGGTGACAGTCATCATTCATATGCCGCCATGAGAGTGTAACACTCCGAAGTCACGTGTGCGAGTGTGCGCTTGAAAGTTCATCAGCATCATCGTTCACCGTGTTCCAACGTCTGTGAGTGAACACTTGGTAGTGTGAGAGTGATTTGCGCCGGCGCGGGTGTTTGACACGCATTTGTGGTGTCTTGGCTGGCCAGTGCAGAGTGACCAAGTGTAACGTGACGCTGGACGTGACGCTATTAAGCGTCAGACGTGTTTTATTGTTCGGGTCATGTGTGATTTATCTACTCCGCCAATGCTGCCTCCGCCCACCGCCGCCGAATGGGGCGCGTTTTACCGTCGTCTGAGTGACTGTGAGAGTGAGTTAGTGAGAGTGTGAAAGTGAGTTAGTGAGAGTGTGATTTGCCGATGTCCCGGCAGCCCCACCGTTCCCCGCGCGGACGGCTTTGTTTACCTGCGAGCACCGGATGGATGCGTGAGCTGTGTTTAATGTACTCCCCGCGTGGGGCCGTCATTTCATTCCCCGGTTGGAATGAGCAGGGGTTACCGTTAAGTGACCAGCGCCGTTCGCGACTGCGCTAGTTTGTGGTTGGTGCGGAGCTCAGGCGACCGGTGAGGTGTTTGAAGTGGGCGCGAACCCCACCGGCCCCACCCTGGTCCGCAGCGGCTGAATACATGGGTTAGTTTTTGGCGGTGTGTTGCCTGTATGTCGGCCGGGAGGGTTTGGAGGTCAGCGGTCCGTTATAGGAACACCGGTGGGTTGGCGGCGCGCCGGGAGTGGCCGCCATGTTCCCGAGGTGATAAGATTGCACGGTTTCGCGGGAACGGGCCGGTATCTGCAGCGGATCGTTTCCAGGGCGACCCAAGGCCACAGCTGCCATGTACCGGGCCAGATTTACAGGCGGGCGCTGCCGCGCCGGCCAGCCGGAATCGCGGTCATTTGGTAATTGGAACTACTTGTGAATGCCGTGCCGGGATGGCCGGCGCGGAGCGGCGCCGACGCGACGGCCGGATTCGTCCAATCAAAAGCGTGCGCCGTGACCCATATTTCCCACACGAGGCGTCAATGTTGGAGTGGCGCGCCGTCAGATTAGCATCCGGCCCTCGGAACTTTTCACCCGTCCGAAACTAACCCGGTTTGTACGGTCGAGCGTCCGTCCGGCCGGGCCGCACCCGGGCGCGGCGGCTGCGTCGATTCAAGCCGCCGCATTGAGCGGTGCGTCAAGGTTGCGGGTGGTCGGCGGAGCAGGAGGGGGGGGGGGGACGCCGCCGAGTGCTCGTATGTCGCCGAGGTCGGCGCGCGGACTCGCCGTGTCGCCGGCCGAGCTCTGACCTTGTCCCCGATCGCCGGCGGTCCTCCACCGACCGTCCTGCGCCGACCGACCGGCCGCGCCACGGGCGATACGGCCCTCCAATCGGCCTGAAAGGGCTGCCCGTCCGTCCCGCCACCGCCGATGTGCAGCGCGCCATCTGAAACAGACAATGGCGGGAAAACGGCCGCCCGCGCCAATGCCAGTGACCCACATAGTGAGGGGGCTGACTTCCCGCGTCCGCGGCGCCAATCTGAGTCCGTGCCGGCTGCACGCGAACTCAGGGGGCTGATGACATCGGTTGGCAGGAAAAGATGGCACCGAGGACCGAGGAGCACGGCAGTGGCGGGAAACCAGGGAAGTCCGGACGGGCGACCGGAACGGGGAAGGAGAGCGGTGACATGAGCGGTTACTCTAAGGACTAGGAGTATGATCGCAGTTTACTGTTCAATTCACGGCGTCTTAATTTGTTCTGCGGTGTACTCGCCATGCCTCAGTAATACGGTTGGGCCTTCAGCATGGCAACACCCCATGACAACCGTTTGGGATCATCTCCGAAACAGTGGGAGTGGGACCTTTGCAGTGGGAGCAGCTGAGGAAGCATGGACACATTCGGGCTCGAACCGCCGCAAATGACCATATCCCCACCTCTCCGCTTCCCGAGGTCCAGACCCGGCACACCCTTCACACAGCCAGACGCAGACCGCAGACCAATCACAGACCACAGCTCCCCCGCACTACATACCTATCACCACACCACACCTTCCCCGGCCATCCAATTTCAGACCCAGAGTCACACCTCCCCGCCACCCCGGGCCCATACCCGCCTCCCCCTCCCCCGCCACCGCGAACCCATACCACCCTCCCCTGCCGCCCCCAGCATCCGGTCCATGTCGGGTCAGGGGGTTTCCGCCTCGGGGCTCGGGACGCTCGGGACATTTCTCGGAGCTCGGTCCGCCGCCCACGGGCTCGACAAAGTCGCCGCCGGCGGTCGGCAGGTCGACGCTCCCGTCCATTGCCAGGCATTGATCGTCGAGTTCGCCGGCGCCGACGGTGCGTCATGAGAGTCAAGGTCGGCCACGGCGGCTGGCGACTCCCGGACCTACCCCCCCCCCCCTGCCGCTCCCTGGGGGTGACCCCCTAGACCGCCCACGGACGTTCGTGGGGCGGTGGCAGCGCTGCCAGCGGAGGCGTGGTGGGGAGGCCCGAAAGTAACAGATTTATATGGATGATGGAAACGACAGAGCTGTGGTTGAATCGAGGAAGAGAGAGAGAGAGAGAGAGAGAGAGAGAGAGAGAGAGAGAGAGAGAGAGAGGGGGGGGAGGGGGAAGGGACAACATCTGACATAGATGAACGGCTGGTCTTAGTGAGTAGTGAGTACTGAGTAAGCAAGTTCAGTTCCTTCCTGAGGGCTTATCTTAGCAGGAGTAGCCTGCTGTGGACACACTTTGACAAGGGGATGGATTTATCTGCACTAGAAACGGACGTCAACGGCGATACAGAGAATGTCAGGTTGTTGGAAAATATAAATGAAAACAGGGGCGGATCCAGAAAATCTCCAAGGGAGGGGCCATTAGAAACCAGGAGGCCCCCCCCCGTAATCCCACCTGTTGGAGGCCCCATCTTCCCACTTGTTGGGCCCCCCCCCCAAAAAAAAAAACTGCGTCTATTGAGCTTATCTAGCTGTTCAGGCAACATCTCAACATCTGTGCAGGCTTGGAGGCCCTCTGTGCAGGTTAGGAGGCCCTGTAAAAGTGGTCTTCTCTGTGAGTATAAGAGACCTCCAAGTTATGAAAAGCTTTACCAATCTTCTAACAAAGAAGTCTTCTCAGCTAGTCTTCTAAGAAATAACTAAGTGGGTAGGATAAAAAAACTCATCGGATTTCGGCCACTTTATTTTCAGGAGGCCCCCTTTTCAGCTTTTTAACTTTTTAACTTTTTATTTTATTTTTGAAAAAAAATCGGCCAAGGGGGGGGCCATGGCCCCCATGGCCCCCCCCTTGTATCCGCGCCTGAATGAAAAGGCGACGATGCCCGACATTCATTTTCAATGTCAAAAGACCGGACGCCGTGACGGGCAGCCGAGCATGAAAGGCTGGCTCAGCTCAGAATCAGATGCCCCTGACCGCTGCCCTTCGCGGAACAGCATCATCCTCGCGGAGCGGACGGAGCGAGACAGTGAGACAGTTCCCATGAGCTGTCGTGTCTCCGGGATAACACGCTCGGCCGTGCAGTTTAAGCTCTCCTAAACCTCACGACAGGCGGGGAGGATCGGGGTGGATCGTTACGGTCTGTCGTTGAGGGTGAAAACACGGACCGCTCCGTGTCAACGAACGTCGACACGCCATGCCCCGGCGATATACCGCGGATGGACGGCGCTGCGGGTCACCTTGACCTTGGCCTTTAGCAGTCGGCTGACTAACGCCGGTCACGACAGGCATAGTTGGCAGAAAGGAGCGGGGCGGATTGTTTGTGGAGGGTGGTGAAACGATGCTGAGTGCTGACCAGGGAACATTGCTCAGCGGTCATCCTTTTACCGGTATAAGCTCGTATCTGGAGTGGATTAAAAATTTGATTAGGCTTTATGTAGAAATTCAGGGATACGTGTTTCTCACTCCTCATCAATTCTCGTTCAGCTAAAGCCAAGCGTTATTTGTGCAACACTGAATGTGTCGATTGTTTCGTCAAAGGCACGCTCTCGACTTCCATCCCGGCATTCTTCCCGACATTCATCCCGGCGTATTCCGTTGCTGTGGGTATAGCATCACATTCCGATCATATCTCACGCACTTCATCTTCTTTAACCAACACAGAGAAAAGCAGAGCTTTGCGAGCAGACTGTATGTATTTTCAGCGTTCTGGTCATCACACCAATGGTACGCAGTCAACTCTTCACACCAGCAGTGGGCTCCGCACGTGGCGGCACCCAATATATACCTTCATCAGAGATCTAAATCGTCGCACCTTCCTCTCGGTCGCTCCAGACGGTCACTGACCAACAACAGGGCGAGCGAACACCCCCCCCCCTCCCCCAGCGCCCGCCAACAGCAAAACATAGCCCGCGCCAAAACTCTGTCACATGGGTGGCGCATGGGCGCAAACTCGCAAATACAGGATATAGAAGCCCATAAGGGAGTCAATCGCATCCACAGGCTTAGACATATCGCACACATCACACCTAAACAAGTAAACAGGCAAACAAACGAGCACACGCTCACACACAGAACCACACGGGAAAGTCAACTTTCAAACACACATGAGAGCACGTCTCCACCTTGCCAAAGGGCCAACGACCCAAAGGGCCGCGAAGGGCGTCTATTTACAACTAACATACATGCATTTTCGGCGGGTACACTCGATCTGCGTGAGCAGGATGCAAGCCGCACGTGCACTGCACCCTATCCCTGCAGTATTGCAACAGCGTGAGCCCGACCTCGGTGGGTGCCGGCGCCGAGCCGGGGTGGGTGCGCCGCGCGGCCGGTCACACGGGTCACTGGGGCACGTGCACAGCTCCATCAGACGAGTGAGGGCACACCAAGAGTGAGCGACATGGAACAAAGCGCCACGGACACGGCTGTTGTACCCCGGAGAAAACAGCACCCGGTCTCACAACAACGCGCCTCCGTATTTGCTATTTATACACTACTATACACATGTGCTAAACAATAATCCAGAACAGCGAACAAGAGCGGCCTCGGGGACCGAGCATTTGTCTTTTACGCGACAGTGTGCGTGCGTCGTTTTGTACTAGGAAACTGGCACATTTGGCCGCAGGTATGTACAGACCAACTGAGAGGCCGGGCGAGGCGTGCCGGGCGACACCCGTCACTGCACGGCCTCCAGTGAGGGGCTGCGTACGCTCTTCGTCAGGTTGAGCGGCTGCTCCGCCTGAGAGGCAGCGGGAGCGGAGGGGGAGGGGGAGTGGCTGATCGACGGTGTCGAGGGCGGTGTGCCTGCCGCCGGGCTGGATGAGGAAGCCGGCGACGGCGGCATGCCCAGCAGCCGGGCGACCACCTCGCGCTGGCGGATCTGCTCCGAGCTCCAGGGCCGCTGCGGCGGCGCGCCCAGGATCCGGCTCAGTGTGGGCGTGGCGCCGGCGCGTGCGGCCGCCCGCTCCTCCTCTGCAGCGTCTCCCTCGACGCCGCTCTCCCGGCGCAGCCAGCGGAACTTCTTGTGCGGCAGGGGGTGCTCGGCGGTGGCCAGGCCGGGGGCGGCCAGCGCCTGCTTCAGCAGCGGCATGTACTCGTCTCCGCCGGCGCCGCCCTCGAGGGAGGGTGGGGAGGCCGGCGGGCTCGCGGCCGCCGCGCGTCCGTCATCCTCGGCTCGCCGTTTGTGGGAGAGCAGGGCGGCGGCCAGCCGCGGCAGGTCGCGGGAGGGA